GCTGTGCGTCTCATTTCAGATGCATTCGCTGCTCAGCCACAACGCTGTATCTCATATTATTTTAAGATTTCTCCCACCCTCTCTCTCTCTCTCTCTCGACATCTCCACACGCGACTTCTCCTTATTGATATTCAATATCATCAAATGATGTGTGAGATCTATGGCCAAAAAAAAAATCGGGGACTCAATACGGCGAGAAAAAAGACCGCGTCGCTCAATAAAAATATTTAGCACGTTTCATTAAGGTGTTTGTGTGGCTGTTTGTGTGAATATTTTGTAATACTCTTTCTCACGCGCGTCATGAGCCACTGTTAAAGGTTAAATTTATTAATTGTCCAAGAGTGCAAGACAAAAAAAAATCTAAACTGCGAGTTACACTTTCCAAAAAAACCATTCCTGTCTGATTCCAATCAATTTTCACACATCTCCCCCAATTTATATATTGATAAAGGGCTTTATTAAGTCTTTAACTTTATAGTTTCCCACGAATATGTCTTGAAATATTGTTGGCAGTTAAAAAATTCACTATTATTTTCGGTGAAACTCCGAAAGTGACCCAAAAATTACTTTGGTGTGAAATTAATGGCACCATTCCGATAAGAATAAATTATTGCATTGGACGCAATTAAGTGAATTGCGCTTTCTGATTGAGAAACAAAACAAACAGACAAAATTGAGAAGTGGCAGGAAATATTGAAATCCCTCTCTGTTGAATCATATTCCCTACGGTAATTTGAAATAAATTGTATATTCATAGCCATAATATTATAGATAAGACAAACATGACAATTTTCAAGCTCATCGAGCAAAAGCGAAGCAAACGTCGTCAAGTGAATTCACCTCTTTGAGAGGAAAAAAAAACAGAAAAAATTGCAATCATTTGATGGCGAAACATTCAAAACATTCAGGAAGTTGACATAACAAGGCAAAAATGGCACTTTTAGCACGAAAACAGAGGAAAAAATCATCTTTTTTGTTCCTTCCTTCAATATTCACATTGTTTGAAATTATTGGCGATATTTTTTTTCTGTCATTTTCCAACTCTCTTTGCCATCGTCTTGTCTGTCATTCGGAACATATACACATGATTTACCGCACAATGTGTTCACGGTGTATTTTACCAACATATGTACACATTATCCAAGAATTAATTTACTGGACCACAACACAGGCAATGTGGGTACCGCATTGGAAGTATGGAAAATCAATTAATTATAAGCTTGCGTGTTATATAAAGAGGAGTGTATTCACTCCCGTATCTATCTCAAATTGTAAAATTAAATAATAATAATATTGAGGAGATTTTATGTAACGACAGACATGCTACAATTGCCTTTCTTTTGCTCTATCAGGTACCATTTTTTTCCCTCTATACCTTCCTCACCTCTTCCTCTCTTTGGGGTGAAGCATAAATTTATGACTCCACCTCCTCCTCATTTCCAAGCGACTCTCTCGGGGGGAATTTATTGAATGAAAAGCCGTGATTTGTATGAATGTAATCTGAAAATGCCTCTCTTTATTATATCCTCACGCACCACACATCAATATGTATTATTTGGCATGAGATGTTTGTCGGTTGGAAAGTTGAAGGAAATTGAGTAAGAAGGAGAAAAAAAATTGTCACAACCATAAAATTTTCTTCCCTTCTGTATATAATTTTTCCCTATACAATAATCGTGTTTGCACAGTTCATGCATTGAAAATTAATCTCAAGAATGTTATATGCCTATAAATTATTCGATAAGACATTTTGTAAGATTCGCAAAGGAGTCATAAAATAGACCTCACAAATGGTAAAAACTTTCTCTAATTATCAATCAATGTGCAACCATGTCACACATGATGGAAAATGAACGTTTCAAGGCATTTCTTCTTCCTCCTCAAACTCAAGCAGACGCAGATAAATTTGCGCCGATAAAAACACATACTCTCTCTCTCTCTCTCAATCAGGTGTGACTCTTTTCATCCGTCACTCGTCTGCCATAGTAATCAAATCAACTCCGATATGTAATTAGACAAGAAGAAGAAAAACATATCACACTCTCAAGTTACCAAAGAGACGACAACACCATGAATGAGAGTGATAGTAGCGTGAAAAAAAAGTGTGAAGAAGAGTTTCGTTGACGAAGAAAAAATACAGCCTCATGTTGAGCTTTCAATCACAGACTTTTAACACCTCATAACACATCATAGCGTATAGATTTTTTGACATGAGTGCAAAACGAGAAAGATTTTTCACCGAAATCGACAGGAAATTAATTTCTTTTCAATCTCTCCGTTTATGCTTTTCATCACCTCAAGAGATTTCGTACAAATTAATTGGAAGCGCGCGCATTCAAAGCGTCGGTCGAGGTTACAATGGCCAAAGTTAGGTTTCACTGTGTGTTCGCGATTACACAAAAATCAATGATCACAGACCATTGATCTTCTTCAAAAGAGAGGCACAAAAAGGTGCATTATGTAACATGTTTAGACTCGGCCACTTACTCCAGATTGTTACATAAATTCCACTTGTCCTCAGACACGTGAATTCTAGGTTAAGGCTTATATAAAAATTTTGATTCCTTCAAGGATGAAATTCAGCAAAATTGCCACAACAAATCAATTTTTCGAGGAAAATTCGTTGTGGTTCAACTCGCAAACTAACGAGAAAATGTATATTGGAAAGCGAATCAGTCTTGCTCAAATAATCCATCTCGATTTTCATACCAATTTAAAGGTAAAATGCTGGGTTAGAGCATTAAACACTCTTACACTTGATTGAGACATTCAATCAAGCTCAGTTTATTTTTTCTTCTTCTCCCTCTCATATGCATAAATTACAAATCGAGACTTATTAAATTCGACAATATTAATTAGATAAAGTGTGCCACTGAATTAGATAGACCAAAGAGACTTTCAGCTTTTCCAATGCCTTCCTCTGTAAAAACTTTTCCACAGTCACATTGAAAATGTGCTCTTTTGACTCACACACCATATCAATTTTTATCTTCCACTCGTTCACCTTCTCGACTGAACAATAATCTGTTAAAGGTTTCAATAGAATATTTAATAGTCAAACACAATTCATCTTTGCATTTTGCCTGCGCGCATTTCTTATTAACAGACAAAACCGTTTGATGAACAATTGAGCAAATAATCAATGGAAATTCATTGTATCTTCTGTGATTTTTTTTAGACATTTTTCACCACAGCTATTATTGAAATAAATGTTTAATTAAGCAATAAATGGTCAAATGTCGCACCATTCATGGGTTGGGAAACCCATTTTCCACAATATACATACATATTTTATCACACATGTGACAATAGCTTCAACAGCAGCGGCAAAATTGATCAATTCAAAAGAACCTCCATTGTTTGCTGTGTTTGTGAAGGAAAAACAAATTAAATGTGTGACATTATCGCATTAACGCCTACAAAATTGAACAATTAGAAGAACATCGAGAGGGAAAAAAAACTATGAGATACAATTTTTCAACCTCGACAGTGATCAAGTAATTACAGCACAAACAGAAAGGCATCATCAGCTGAGCATTCCATCAACATGCCGATGTTGCAAATTGAAGATGAGAAAATACATCTCACATTCCGACTGACACTCTTGTTATATGAAGAAAGAAAAAAAAAATTGTACAATAGTGCGTGTAAATTTATTGCTCTACATACCATAAAGAAAATGAACATCTTATGCACCTCATTAGTTGGCGAGGGAAAATTTTGTCCGAAGAAGAGAAGAGAAAATTAAAATTCATTAGAAATACATTATCTGTGTTGTGATTGAATAATTCACAAATCTCACTCTGTCCATTTTCTTTCCACCGTGTGTTAAATAAAAGATCTTACAGAACTTTAATAGCTTTTCAGGTGAGGCGTGTGAAAAAAAAAATCTTTTATAACTCATAAAAGTTGTGACACATTTTATTTTCTCTCTGTCTATTTTTTGGGAAAAAGCGGTATTTTTTTTGATATTTTCCGAAAGTAAATCTCTAATTCAAGTCTCCAATTCGCACATAAAAAATATAAAACGTATTTAAATGCCAATTTGAATTTACAAATTTACAAAAATGTTACACTGTCAATAGGAAGCAACTGATCTAAAATTCCTTATCTTAACATTTGATTGTACACAAAAAAATTTTTATTGAACACATAAAAATCGATTCACGTGGGTGAATTTAACAAAAGACGACTTTTTCTCCGCCACACAAATTTGGACACAAATTTTGCACACTTTAAGAGAGGAAGAAGAATTCGACATGCATTGCATAAAGTTGTCATGAAGGTAGAAAATAGAAGAAGACGACGAAGAAAAAAGAGTTGAAATTAATCGGAATTCGTCTAAGTGGCTTTTTTTTCACCGCACTGCGAATTTGAGCCATTTCTTTTCACTTCATGAGTGTGAAAAATCATTTTGAGGCGTGTCATTCATCAATCACCCAATCTCGCCATATAGTAAATTCATACAATTTCCAGCATATCTCTTCGCGCTACATTCCATCGCTATATATCGTGACATCTCACTTCGCACACAATTTACTGTGGCCACACAGAGGAGAAAAAAGAGAAAATATATATATAGATGAGAGTTGAGGGTGGAGAAGAGTTGAGAGAGAAGAAGAAAAAATGCACAAAAGAAATATATTTCTTCGATATATTCATAAAAATCATCTTATGAGCAGTTTTCATGAGTTATTGTGAAAGCCCAAGAGAGTCACATTTCACAAGATAAATGGATTGACGATGGGGAAAGACGAAAATGACGAGTGGATTAGAAATAAGCAATTTCACACCCACCTTGTGGTGTGTTTGTGTCTCTCATTTCTACATCTTCTTTCACCAAACTCAACCATCATGAAAAATCATCCATTTTTCCCAGATTTGCATTCAATTTCGTTGTATGCAATTCTTTTCACTCTCTCATAGAGCTTCACAAGAGAACAATTTTTTTTCATAATAACATCTCTCTTTCTTTCTCTCTCTCTCTCGACAAATTCCAGGGAGCAGCAACTTCTCAACGTGTTTGAAGTCGTGGTGTCAACACTTGAGGGAAAATTGCAGCGAATCGACAATCTGGACAAAGCGGTTGAACATCTAATGAGACGAGTTGAGGCGCTCGATAGTCGTGTTGCGGACAACATTCACAAGAATGACGTTGTCATTTCGAAATTACTCTCCCTGGACAATCGATTGGCCTTTGACGGCAAGACAGGCGAAACTCCACCCGCCAAGGGGAGCGCATTGGACACACGCTTGCTGCTGCTGGATCAGAAGCTCCTCGAGATCGACAGCAAGCTTGAAGTGCTGAAGAATCAAATAGACTCCAATTTCCTACCAGTGGACGATATCAATGCCGAGGCGAGCGAAAAGAAGCCCATCAGCATGAATGTGATTGAAATAACAAAATCAATGAATGCCGAAGTTATTCAGCACGTGTCCAAGGAATTGGATCAATTGCGCACCTCCACCGAGTCCATTGACAAGAAATTGCAATTCCACATTAATATCGCCTCAGAGAATTTGGGCAAAATGCTGAGACAACTCAATGATATCCACGAAGCTGTTGTCGATCAGCAGGAACTCCCAATGCCACTCTTCAACACAACCACCACAACTGCCCCACCACCGCTGGTAAAAGCCAGCAAAATCGACGTTCTCGTGCGCCAAATGCGCCCAATTATGACCGTGTCAGAGAAGATGGACGAAGTGTGGGACGTTGTTGTGGGCACAAAGAGCTCAGTGGATGATCTCGTGCCAAAATCTGATGCTCTCCTCACAAATACACAGCGTCAGGAGCGTGCCATAGGTGAAATTCATCAGGATTTGCGGGCCAAGACGAATCTCATCATTGAAAATCTCGATATGGTCGAGAAGAGATTGAAGAAGCAAGAGGACGATGTTGCCGTGCTGGCACAGAGACCCGTTCCAGCTGAACTCCTCATGGATCCCACAATTGATCGTCTCGTTGAATACGATCCTAATCGGTGAGCGGAGAGATTTTCCCCCCTTTTTCTTTTAGCATTGAAACATCATCAATATTTTTTCTTTGCTCAAAAAAGGTACTCCGTCGTGGAAGACTTCACAGAAGCTTTACCAACAACGACATATCCTTCAGCCAGCACGTCAACCACACAACGAACGACAACGCAATCAACAACAACACAGAGCTCACCGAGCATCACTGTGAACACGGTGAACTCAGTGTCAAATTCATCGACCACCTCCAAACCACTGTCACGAAAAGGTGGAATAATATTCCCAAGTGTTAAGAACAAACCATCTGTGGTAACCACCTTTACTACCGATATCTTGAGCTTTAAGGATGTCAAGGTAATCATTCTCTTTCTCGCATTCAAGCCACTTAGACACTTATTAAATTCTTGTTCTTTTACCACAAAATATGACTAATCAACTTAGATGAGAATTTAAAGACTTCTAATGTACTCATGATTATGAATTCCCCAATCAGGAGAGAGAGACAGAAGAGAGAGAAATATCTGGAAAATTAACACTTCAATCTAGATAATATTTAGCACACTCTTAAGTCACTGAATTCTTTCAATAAGCAGCAGCCGCAAAAAAAAACTCACACAGATTTGCAATTCTAATTAATCCAAGCATGACACAGAGGAGAATATTAAATATTCCTCTTTCACTTGCATTCAATATCGCATTTCTTAGGTCGATTATTCTAAATGTATATATTTATTCACACAATAATTTATTAACAATTGATTATTATGGTAAAATAAAGAAGCCGGTTTAAGTCTGGTTTAAGAAATCACGCAAATTTCTAACAAGTTCTCTCCCAATATACTCCAAAATCGAGTTACCATCGAGACACACACGAAGAGCGCACAGAGAAAACTCCAAAAACACGTTCCAAATGGAAGAAGAAAAGTCATTGAGAGTCAACTTTTAAGCAGGAACATCTTTCACTTCGTAAAAGTCAAGCAACACAAAACATCCAATTTTCAATAAATTGTCATACAAAAAAGAATTCTTTATGACACCCAAGAAAATCATCCCAAGAATAGTAATTGAGCCATAATCATGTTTGATTTGTTCACAAGACAATGAAAATGAAAAATCCATGAAGAATATGCGATTAATTTCATCTTTCACGACAATATTATTTATCCGTCGACATGTATTTATCTTCTTCTTCGCTTGCAATTTGCAAATAAATGGACAAATTGTTACGGTTTCATCGTGACTGTCGCGCTTTGCAACTTTGTTTATATATATTATGTAAATTTCTTGTGCTTTAGCCATACAAAATACAGTACATTGAATTTTTTTTCTTTCACATGTACAACTTTAAAAGCGAAACACACCAAAGGAGGAGGGAGAAAGCAAGATTAAAAAAGACACAACGCGACAATTTAGGAGTTCAGAGAGTCAATACAAATTTATGACTTCTAAATTAACTCAATAAAATCCATTAGAATCAAATAAAATTACTTGCAACTATTTTCCAATCAATTTTCAAGAGAAGTTCTTTTTTCAATTAGAGCACAGAGACTTTTTCAAGCAATTCTCTTCTCTGCACAATCTTGCAAATAAATATTATATGCATTTTCAAGAATTTATGATTCAACTCTTGATTCTCTCTGTGTATATTTCTCGAGTAGGTGGAATGGAATATAATTTAATGTATGACACTCTACTATCATTAATAGTTTCAATTGCTAAACGGTTGCAAAATTCTCAATAGTCGCGCGCGCGCGCCTTTAATTACAAAAATAATACATTGCAGTTTAATTGGCCAGTGAAGACAGAAAATGCTAATTAGACCTTCTTTTTTCCAATTCAACTCCGGAATTATTATTATATAGCATGAATAATTCAATTTAATATGTGTGCCCCAAAATTATTCCCTGACGCGCGAGCGCACGATGATGCCAAAGTAAGGCAATATTTCATCGTGAAATCACTCAATTAATATTAAAACGAAAAAATTTTTGCTTTTGGGAAAAAAATCCGCGTCTTTGACGAAATTCACGTGAAGAAGAAGAAGAGAATGTTGGGAAAAAAAGCAGTGTACAATGAAAGTCTTAATATATCGACGGGTGAATGGAAAACTATGAAAAAGCACAAATGGAAAAAAATTGTCATGTTTTGCGAATGAAAAGTCGAATTTTCATTATTTACGCTGTACAATTTTTCCAAGAAAAATGTCTCAAAAATTGCAGTCAAATGCATAAAAACGTCTTTTTAGAAAATATTTGTAGATTTTCAGAATTATCCTAAAATGTTTTTTTCTGGACTTTAAATGAATATTTCTCATATCTTTTATATTTTTTCACTTGAAAACATTAAGAAAAAGTTCAAGTAAAATATGAAAAGTTGATTTTTTGTATAAAATCCACTCAAAAACCATTAAAAATTAACTTTGAAAAGTAATATTTTCAGATTTTCTATTAATTTTGCCACATTTTAGTGAAAAATTTCAATAAATACCAATAAAACATTTACAAAATAAAAAATACAGAGCAATATTTTCACTTTAACGAACGATTTGAAGGCATTTTGAGTATTTTGAAGTAAATTTGGCAAATTTCGCAGCTGTTTTAATGCAAAATTTTGAACTCGCTTTGCTGAAAAATGGCGATTTTGACTTTTTATAGTTTTCGAGGCACCCGTCGATTTGCGGTTTAACATCCTCAATTGGATCATTTTTCGACCTCATTGACTGGCAACATTGTGTGCTTAAGGGATTCAATTCCGCCCGATAAAAAAGTTAATTGATACATTGGTGAATATACAGCTCTTAAATGCTGGCTTTCAAATCGATTGTAAGAGCAGTAAAAAAGGCCTCACACACTCGAGATAACATAAATAAGTATAATATATAAATATATACAATGTATGATCGGACACGAGCAGATAAAAATGTGAAAGAAATGTTCATTGAATGGAGAATGTTAAATGAAATAATTGTATCACATTCATCCTCTCAATTTATGCCTGACCAGCAACAACCAACAACAACAACAAGAAAAAAAGCCCCCGCGACGTACAAAAAGCGTTCTTGTAGGTTTTTTTTTTTAAACAGTGCGCAGAGGTAAAAAATTAAATAAAGAAGCCGCCCAATAATTAAGACTTTCTTCCACTCTTCACTCTCCCCATCAACGAACACAAGCCATCTCTGTCTCTCTCTCATTTATGCTTTCATAATACCCATTCATTGTTTACTTTTTAATACGCTTTTTCCTTTTTTTTCCCTCTTTCATATAATTAAAGGGTTTCTCATGCGTGGACCTACTTAATGCTGGAATGCGACAATCTGGAGTTTATTATTTGCAAATTCGTGGCACAACATATTGGTTCCTAAAAGTGTTCTGCGAGCAAGAGATCGGCGATGGCGGATGGACGGTGAGAAATTTTTTACTCATTTTTCTTCTGATATAATATTCTCTTGAGAATAATCTTTCGGGGGAGATTCAAAAGAGAGTACATTAACACCTTGATTGCCTGTTGTGGTTGCTTAATGTATCTTATGGGAAAATCTACCACCTTCGTGTAATGGAAAGTCTCAAATGAAAAAGAGAAGCTCAGCCAAAAAGTGTGTTGAGAAATTTGCATACCAAAGGGTGAATCGAAAACTACGAAAAGTCAAAATCGTCCTTTTTCAAGAGAGAAAATTGAAAGTTTCGCGTCAATATTGCTGAGAATTGTATCAAATTTACATTAAAACACCAAATCATTAATTAAAGTGTTAATATTTCTCTGTAATAATTTTTTTGTGAATTTTTCAGTTGATTTTGTTGGTATTTATTGAAATTTCTATTTTCCAAAGTCGATTTTTAATAGTCTTTGAGTATATTTTATTCAAATGAGTTCTAAAAAATCAAATTTTCATATTTTACGTGAATTTTTATCAGTTTTCAAGTAAAAAATTCAATAATATGACAAACAATCTAATAAATTAAACTCTAAGAATATTTTAGGAAAATTTGGAAAATCTAGAATTAATATTTTTGTCAAAGAGACCATTTTATGCCTTTTTACAGTTTTCGAGTGGAAAAAATGAAAATATCACAAATATTATTAAAAAATTCAAAGTCTAGAAACATTTTAGGAAACATTCATGAAATACACAAGACGCAAAAGATGAAAAATCGACTTTTCGGGTGTTTTCTCTCTCTCAGACTTCGGTTAATCATTTTCCCTCCTCGAATTATCAGGTAATTCAGCGGCGTGACGACTTTGGCGAACCCCGCGAGAACTTCAATCGCGATTGGGCGGATTACAAGAATGGCTTTGGCGATCCATCAAAGGAATTCTGGTTGGGCAATGAAAACATCTACATGCTGACAAACAATGAAGATTACGCTCTGCGTGTGGAATTGGAGGACTTTGAGGGAAACAAGAGGCAAGACAATTGATATTTTCATCGTGCCGAACGGATAATAATCATCTGTCTTTTCAGATACGCGCAATATTCACACTTCAAGATTCACTCAGAAGCTGATTACTACAAACTCGAGATTGACGGATACGAAGGCAATGCCGGTGATTCACTGAACGATCCGTGGTACGGATCCAATAATAGTCCATTCTCCACATACAATCGTGACAATGATAGAAGTTCCCTGAACTGCGCAAGTATGCTCAAGGTGAGTTGTTTGGATTGTCCGCAAATATACACATAATGCCCTCCTCCTCCTCCGCTGCCGACAATTCTTGTTGCTGTTGTTGTTGTGTCCAAAGCGGCTCCCAATGACAACACAATAGGATGCCGAAGAAGATGAGGAACTTGCAGAAATCTTCTTATACAACAAAAACACACAAACTCACTCATGGAAGCCCAAAAAATCGTGACTTATTTGCAACGTGAGGTGATGAAAAAATGCGCGTCTTATTTGGATGGAATTTTTCAATTATAAAAATTTAACTACATTATTATATTGTATATCCGAATAATTCAATTATTACCTTAATTCTCACATATATATACACCATTATTTCTCAATGTCTCGCCATTCTCATCCTCATCAGTCAAATGAGGAGAATTCATATTGTCGATTATGGATTTTATATTCCAATATCTCACGACTTTATATTGTCTTATTAGAGAATCATTGAGAGATCGTGCGAAAAGCATCAAGAAATGATGTACGATGTGGCAGAAAATATTTGCATAAATTTCAAATATTCTCTTGATCAGCGTATATCAACATAAATTCCACACATCTTATGTTGCTCTTGTGATTCATCAGCAATGTGTCTCAAGAAATGCCACCAAATTGCTAATAAAAATTAATTAACGAAAAACCGAATAATCACAATCGGCTCGCATCAAAAGATTTCCAAAATTGACAAAAATAGCAATTATAGAAATATATTATTAGTGGCATTGTATTAATTCTTCCTACATGAAAAAAAAACAAGGTAGTCCTTTTGGAGAATCAACAATAATCACACTAATCATTTCAATTTAATGCGACAATAGGCAAAAAATTGAATGCTGCCCAACCTTTTTTTTCTATAATTTGCATTTTCCTAAAATTATACCTCAACAATTGGCATAAATTGTCACTTTTATTTCTCACGCATTTTTTAGCAACTTCGTGTGAAATAACTCTAAAATTTTGAGGCCATCTCAGCTAATTGATAAATATGAATTTGTCCTTTGACGAGGAAGTTCAGCAAGTTCAAGAGAATTGTCTTCCGTTGAAAGTTAGACGAATTAAGGCCTCGTCGTTGCAAGTTTACTTTCATAACATTTTAAATAAGATGTCAAAAATATTAATTCGTAATTGTTTACTGATAAGAGGAATTTAAGACAAGAAAAGCCGGAAAATTCACGTGAAAACCAAGGAAATAGACAATAATGATGTTTTTATGAGAATAAACAACATATTTATTGGGTTTTTCTGGCCATTTGAGCACATTTCAATTAACCAAATTGAGGTTATGTGTTTCCAGACATTCTTCTTTTAGGGAAGAACATTTCTTAACCTCCCCATGGAGGAAAATGGTCAGAAACTGGACAGAATTTTGAATATTCTGTCCTAAAACACCCTCAAAATTAGACGCAATGAAATAACTTTTCTGACAGCTTAAATTCGTACTAAATAAACCCAAACTTGGCCTCACAACGCCTTCTCGTTCGTATTTCATTCGTACTTCACACTAGCGCCGCCGGGCGGCCGTCAATATAAGCTGTAAAGTCGCAACGACCCATAATTCGGAGGAAATGGATGAAAAACACTCTCAATCTTTGCAGGGCGGCTGGTGGTGGAAGTCCTGCGGCCGAGGCCTCAACGGTCTGTATCTGCACGATCCGCAAGACTTGACGGCGCGACAGGGAATCGTGTGGTTCCGCTGGCGCGGCTGGGATTACACCCTGAAGAAGGCCACAATGATGATCCGACCCAGGCCTCAACTCACGACGTCGTAAGCGGGCGGCGAAGGAGTGTTTTTTAGGTGAACAAAATGCACAAAAGAACTAACTCTTATTTAATGAAAAGTTGTAAACTTGTCTCATTTTCTCTCAAACTGTGTGCAAAATTCCTTTCGAGCACAAAAACTCTTCCCATGATCCTCCGATCGGAATCCCTTTTCTCTCTCTCTCTCTCTTTGTTTGCAGAAGAAGAAAAGGGAAACGCCAACGGAGAGGAGGAAGAGATGGAAATTTAGTTGATATTCAAATGGTTTTGAGTGCAATTGAAGGATATAAAGAAGTATAAAAACAATCAACGAAGAATACTCCAACTTATTAATTAGATGATGGATTTTTTTTTCTCTCCCCTTTCGAGGAGAGAAAAATGTGTGTAAAAGAACAAGGCAAAAGAAAAGTTGCAAACAAAAACGAGCACAAAAAAGGGATTCTGTGGATTTCAGTATTTTTTTTCTTATCTTCATAATTATTTCAACTCCTTATTTTCTCTTCTTTCAAACTAATTCGTGTGTCATCATTTCATTCGATTTCATAAGTGTTTTTTTTTATATTGTTTTTAATAAATTATTTACTCATGTTGACCCATTTTATTATCACAACTTCATTCAAAGCAAATCGCGCGATGCAAGACAAAAAAAAACACCATTTCCACTCGTCTGTAAAATCTCTTTTAGAAATTTTTTTATATAATCTATAATTATTTTGTCATCCCAGTTGAAGAAGCGAGAGGAATGAAATGTAGGAGGTGGAGTTTTTTAAGATCAAGAACAAGCGAAGAAAATAGAAGATAAATTGTTGACAAATTGAAGGAAAAAAAAAACTTGCCGATTTATTGTAACCAATTTCTTTTTAAGAATGTAGCAATAAAAATTATACTGTAAATATCGTTGTATGAAGTAGTTATAAATGTCTATTTTGTATGAAAATTGTAGTTAAAGATCATTATAAATAAATAAGATTTTTGAGAAAAACAAGAAAAACAACTCACTCGCATCAGGATAACAAGTTGCTGTCAACCGGGAAATTCCTTCAAATAACCCCACTTTCGGGTTCGCTTGATGTTTTCACGATAACACTGAAGATCACGCACGAACAGCAAAATTCACACCATCAACAAGGACATAGATTACTTATGCACGATCTGCACTACATTTCAAGCTGATATTTTCACGGAAAACGGGGATAAATGGGAAATTTACACCTGGAAGGTGAAGCCAAAACAATACTAACAAGAACTTGCATGCCACTGTTTACGCGTCCATCACGCGTTGCCAACTTCACGCCGTGGTGTAAATGTCAAACTGAGTGTCAGACGGTCGGAAGTAAACAACAGATTCACGTGGTTTTTCGTGTGCGCAAAAGAAGGGTTTTTCATTGCTAATATTCACAATATTGGCAGAAATTATGGATGTGGCGGTGGAAGATAATGTGGTGGAGAAGAAGGAGTCAAAATTTGATGAGGACTTTGTGAAATTAGCCAGTGACAGTGAGAAAAATGATTCGGACGCTGAGGATGAGGAATTTCCTGAGATATCCTGGTTCAGATTCACCGATGTCGTCAAGGATGACGTTGATAGAGCTTTAGAGGCGGAAGGAGCAAAGGCAGAAGATGAGCCAGAAGACGAACAGGCATTCCTGATGGAGTCTCTCTTCGGGAACAAGGAGAAATTGCTGGAGAACCTCAAAGAACAGTCCGGAGAGAGTGAATCCCAGAGAGAATCTACGAAAAGGAAGCATGCCTGGGAGGATTCTGACGATGAGGAGGTCACAATTAAGCAGGGTCTCGAGAAGACGCACAAAAAGTCCCTCTTGCTGGATCCTGGCGCGGAGTATAAGAAATACCTCAGCAAGAAGTATCAGAAGATCGTGGGAGAGCCCAAATGGGCGGACATGGACAGAGTTGAGAGTGACTCGGATGACGATGAGCTCCTCAAGACGGCCGGTCATGTGCTGAAGGGGAAAAGAGGCGCACTTGGCGAGAACACGATAGGATTCAAGAGACTCGAAGATCTCAACAAATCCACTTACTGCGAAGGTCTCGTGACGTCTGTGGAGTTCCATCCCACGTCCAGTGTCGCTCTGGTGACCGGGCTCAGGGGCATAGCTTCGATTTACTCCATCGAGAAGACAAAGTGCGACAAACTGCACAGCATTCAGTTCAAGAAGTTCCCACTGAGATGCGCCCGATTGTCGTTGGATGGAAGTGAGGCGATTCTGGGCAGCAAAACGTCCTGCTTCTTCACCTACAACCTCATCACGGGACAGCAGCAGAAGCACTTTCTGCCCAAAGGCATGACAAAGATGAGAAATTTCGAGATATCTCCAAATGGCGAATTCCTCGCCGTTGCCGGACGCTTTGGTGAGATTCACTTGCTCACTGTGACAACCAAGGAGTGGATTTGCACGCTGAAGCAGGAGCACGACGTGGCTGCCATGGCATTCTCTCCAGATTCCCGGAAGCTCTTTGTGCACAGCAGAGATTCCGAAGTGTCTGTCTTCGATCTGACTGCCCAGAAGATGATGCATCGCTTCATGGACGACGGCTGTGTGTCTGGATCGTCAATAGCCACGAGTCCCAGTGGGAAATTCCTCGCCACGGGCAGTGGCCAGGGAATCGTGAACGTCTATGATGCGGAAAATGTGCTGCTGAGCAAAATGCCAACGCCGACGAAGATCTTCAAAAACCTGGTGACTTCCATCTCGTCAACCACCTTCAATCCCTCATCGGAACTCCTGGCGATGTGCTCGAGTGAAGCCAATGATGCGCTGAAGCTGGCTCAATTCCCGAGCGCCAAAGTCTTCTCCAACTTTCCGGGCAACAATCTGACCAAGGCGAAGCCCAATGTTTTGAGATTCTCCCCTGGAGGGAGATATCTGGCAGTGGGAAATCTCAATGGCAGAGTGTCTCTTTATCTGTTGAAGCATTATGAAGAGTTTTAGCTGTTTTAGCTCTTAATTTTGGCATTAATTTGGTAATAAATCATATTGAACTCTAATAAATTCTGGATGTTTGTCTGTTTCTCCACTCAAGATCATCCTTGAGTTCTTCCACAGCCAACAGCGATGAGATTTGCTACAGTTTTTTGGTAAAAACACTTCATTTTACTAATAAATTGTGCCTCAGAGAGAATTTTGCTGGGAATTTTGAGCGGGAAGTTTTAGACACCTTTGCGACTTGAGCGCCACGCGTGGAGATTTAGTAAATGTGACAATTGATCTTGCGAAAATAAACTCCTGTTTTTTTCGTGTTTTTCACCCTAAATTGTGCAATTATCCCTTCCAATCATGTCAGGGAAGGATATCTTTTCCAAACATCTGCCCAATATCAACTTGGCTACGAGATTTGATGCTGAAGGACGAGAAATACAGGTATTTTTCCCCTTTCGCCAATGTTTACTTGTTGACTGAAAGTGCTTTCCGGACAATTCAGGTTGAACGGCGCGAGGATGAGGAGCAAAATCTGAAGCAGCAGGAGATCTTCGACATCCTCGTGGCCGCAGGCTACTTCCGGGCGAGGATAAAGGGCTTGTCGGCGTTTGACAAGATCGTCGGCGGCATGGTTTGGTGCATGGAAGCCTGTGATTTCGACGTGGACGTCGATTTGCTGTACAGTGAGAATCTCATCATTGGCCAGAAGATGTGAGTCACCGGAAGCAGTTGCTCAACAGTGTCTGACTGTGCTTCTTCCCTTTGCAGCGCCCTGACGGAGAAAATTGTGGCTGTTCTGCCGAAAATGTCGTGTCCACACTTGATTGAGCCGCATCAAATTCAGGGCTTGGATTTCATCAACATCTTCCCGGTGATTCAGTGGTTGGTGAAGAGATCCGTGGAGAATCGTGCTGAGAGGGCGGAGAGACTGAAATCCTTTGCCGTGGGACAATTCCACAATCATTTCCAGCTTCAAGTGGACAAAGCTGTGAAGGAGAAGAACTTGCGAGTGCTTGAGAACATTGAGAAGATCACGCATTTGTACGCTCCTCGGCGGGAGTTCAAGAAGAAGGCTTCTGCTGGCAGTTCAGAGGATGAACTCACGAGAGTGCGCGTGACATTGCTGGAGTTTGGCGACAAAGGACGTCTTCTGGCCACAAACAGGCAGAAAAGCACCGAAAAGAGCCTCAGCACTGAAGAGATTGAGGACAAGGCGTCGGAAGTTGATGAGGTTTCTGCTAACTTTGTGCGTTTGGAGTGTTTGCTTTTGCTTTATTCGGTGTTTTTGCATTTCAGAGTGATGTTCAGCATTTATTTTCTCATTTATCTGTCCAAGACAGTCAGGTATTCTTTAATTTCTGCTTAATTTGTTAATTAATGTGTTGATTTAGCTTCTTTGGGATGTGATTGATGCTTTTCTAATGCTTTCTTTGTGTTTGCAGGAGGATTATTTGGAGTTTACGCAACTCAGTGATGCCGAGAGGGAGAGAATTAAGCAGAATTATGAGGATTTGAAGGCGGAATTCTCGATAGACAGTCAAGAAATCTCTCAGCAAAACCAGATTAAGGCTCTTCTGGTGACGAAGCAAAGTCTGGAGAAGAAACTGGCGAAGATTGAGAATGGAAACAGTGAATTGAATGAGGCTCTGAAGCAGCTGAAGGAGCAAAGGAACGCTCTGATCCAGGAAGAGGAGGAAACAAGGGTGGAAATTGAAGATCTGCGTCGTCGCGAAGAGTCAAGTGATTCCAGTGTTCTGGACACAGTTAAGGAGCTTGTTCTGCAGAATGACGCTCTGAAGCAGGAAGAGGTGGAGTTCAAGGAGAAGTGCCGGAAGGAATTGGCTGAGTTGCAGCAGAAGATTGTGGACACGGAGGCAAGAACGCCTGATAAGGAGGAGACGGCGATAAGGAATGAAGTGGAGATGGAGAAACAGAGACTGCAGGATCTCAGGCTGCAGCTGGCGAAGCAGAATCGCGCCATTGTGACGCTTCAGAGGCAACTCGATGCGATTCCGGACAGAACGGAGTTGGCTCAGTACCAAAGACGCTTCCTTGAGCTCTACAATCAGGGTGAAAAGAGGCTTCTTTTCGTGTGTTTTTCCTTGAAATCACAGTTTTTTCTCCTTTCAGTCAGTGCCAAGCATCGCGAGACGAAACATTTCTACACACTTTACAACACTCTCGAGGACACAAAGACGTATTTGACCAAGGAATTGGAGCTCCTGAATTCCATTTATGAGAATTACAGCGCAACGCAGAATTCAGCGAATTCCAGAGCGCAATTTCTCAAGCAATTCGAATCTCTGGCTGAAGGAATTCGTCAGATGAAGAATAAGGTTTGTTCAGTGGAAATTATTAATCATTTTCAAGGTGTTTTTATGGTTTTTATGCTGTGTTTTCTGGCTTCCAGATGAGGACCAAATGTGACGATGAGAAGGCCAAGAGAGACGGTTACAATGAACAACTCCTCATTCTTGTTGATCAGCAGCGGAAATTGGCCACAGCAGTGAAGCAACTGCAGCTGGAGTGCAAGAAGAATGACGAATTGCAGGAGAAATTAAAGAATATTGTATAAAACGGTGTTTTTGAAGGCGCATTTGCTCAATTTTCGCGGGCCGGCGTTTCGCTGTCAAATCGTCAATTGACAAGTGGTGAAAACTTCAGCGTGGTGAATTTGTTCAAGAGAAGTTCAGGTGGTGCTGGAAAAAACGCTGTTTTCTCTCTGTTTTTCTCTGAAAATACCAGCAATACCGCGGTGAAAATGGTAAATTTGTACCTAAACATGTGTGTGGACATCCGGGAGGCAATAAATCTGGCCAAGAGCAATCTGTACGACTCGATAACCACAAAACTCGTGTACCCTGACTTCGACCGGGAGTTTCAAGAGGAGCCGCTCGCGAGGCGCCATCAAGTCTTCTCCCGGGCGGACATTGTCCTGACCGCCAGGCTGTGGCAGAAGTTCGTGATTGCCGCGGTGTCCGATGAGATTGACCTGGAGTCGCACAATCCGCGGATTCGGGAGAACAGCGAGAGGAAGTTCATTCAGGAGATGGACTTTGCTGAGCATGTGATTCAACAGGGGCTGATCTATGTGAAGCTCAAGCAGGGGAAGAATGTTAACCTCTCGAGGATCCTCAACACGTACAGCAAGTGTGAGAAGCACTGATGTCTTGCTGTTTGATGGGGAATCTTACTGACTTTCTCTGCATCTTTCAGGCGTGATTCTCATTGAAGTGCCCATGATGGATCCCAAAGCGGTGGCGCGACAGCTGCGGAATGATGTGGAGGAGGACGAGACGTTCACTGGTGAGGACACGTGGACGTGGTGGAATAGATTCCGCATTCACTGTGACTACAATCCCAAGCATCGTCTCTCACTCGTCCTCTCGGCGGACATTCCGTCGCACGAGGAGATCCTCCGGTGGCTGGGCGAGCAGATTGAGTACATTGTGGTGCCGCACGATGTGTTCATCTTCAACAGAGCCAACTATCCTGTCCTCTCGCAGGCACACCAGGACGTCCTGGGGCGCTTCCTGCGGAAGACCAAAGCCAAGTTCATCGTGAAAGCCAATCCGCACGATCCCAGCCTGCGCTACTACGCCGAATACCTCACGCACCTGCAGGAGAAGTTCAAGGAGGCCGATCCGATGGACGGATACGATGACATCATCGAGATTCCACTGCAGCCGCTCTTCGACAACCTCGACACGTACACTTATGAGATCTTCGAGAAGGATCCAGTGAAGTACATCCTCTATCAGCGTGCCATTGAGGCTGCACTCAGGGACAGAGTCCCTGATGATCGTGTGGCAACGACAACGGTGACGGTGATGATTCTGGGCGCTGGCAGAGGTCCTCTGGTGCGTTCAGCGCTCAATGCGGGCGCCAATACGGGACGGAAGATGAAGATTTACGTGGTGGAGAAGAATCAGAACACCAGAAACACACTGGAAGCGCTGTGGCGTGAAATGTGGCCTCAGGAAGTGGTGCAGCTGATCTTTTCCGACATGAGAGACTTCTCACCACCTGAGAAAGCTGACATTATTGTGTCGGAATTGCTGGGATCCTTTGGTGACAATGAACTCTCGCCAGAATGCCTCGATGGAGCTCAGGTGCATCTGAAGGAGGACGGAATTAGTATTCCCAGTTCCTATTCGTCCCACATTGAACCTATAATGTCGTCCAAGTTGTACAATCAAGTGCGCTCAGTGACAAAGACGGAGGATCAATTTCTGCAGCAGCGCGTGAAGGGAAAGATCACGGAGATGACTTATGTGGTGTATATGAAGAATGTCTTCTACATTGCCGCCGAGCCGAAGAGATTGTTCACATTTCAGCATCCAAATCGTGAGAAAGTCATCAACAATAATCGCTTTGAGAGACTCACATTCACAGCCAGACTCGATGCGGTTCTCCATGGATTTGCTGGATACTTCGATGCTGTGCTGTACAAGGACATTACGCTCAGCATTCATCCGTTGACCCACACGAAGGGATTGCTCTCGTGGTTCTCCCTGTACATTCCCATTTCGGTGAGTGATGCTCGCTTTTCTCAGCCAATTTTCCCCCTTTTTCTGTTCATTTTTTGTAAAACGGAAGCTTTGCAAAAATTGTTGGCCAAATATTGTGTGGAAAAGTGTTGGATTCCTTCCATGAAACATCCATTAGATGAATTTGATGGCATGTCCGAGGGATGGTCGAAGGTGGAATGGTTGGAATAGAGAATGAAGAGAACATTGGGTGGAAAAGAATCAACTTTCGATAAATCACTTTAGCTTATTTTGAGGAAGAGAGAAAAAGAGAGAAGAAGTTTTGGGGCGACTTTTGTGGATTTGTTGCATTTTCCAGCGAAAAATCTTTTCATACAATTTTTCACACAGAGGATTTCGACTCAATTCCTTTTTAGAGTTATTTTTTCCGGTTCAATGTTGCGGATTTTGCTGGATTTGTGGCAATATTATTAAATTAAGTGCACTGATAGGAAATATAAATTTCTCAAGAGTGTTTTCAACGACTGTCTGAGGAAATATTTTGTGGAAATTCAATTCATATAAATTGATTAAATTGTCACAATTTTGTTGAACAAACTGAACAACTGAAAAGTTGAATAATAAGTTTTATCTATATAAGAATGAAGTGGAATTTCTCAAGAAATCTAGGTTAATAGGCTCTGATTTTCCTTCCCACAAAGCCTCTTAGAACATGAGAATCAATATCATCTCATTCTGCATGAATCGAGGCAATTTATTCAAGACATTTTGTTAAATTGTTGAAAAATGTCACTTGAACTTATCCACAAAAATTCTTCAAGTGATTTTCTTTTCAACTATTTTTCTTTGCAGTCAAACAAAAATATAATTGAATGGTTTTGCTAACAATTTTCCACCCTAAAAATAAACATGTTAAGTGGAAAGTTGGAAAATCTACATGAGAAAATTTTGCATCTTCAGCATTTCCTTTGAGATTATTTATGTCATCTTCTTTTCACTGAATGTCAGGGGAAAATGTGTCTTTTTCGCTGCAACATCAAAAGGCTTGAAGGAGATGTGAAATATAAATGCTATGCATTTTCGATTTCCTACATTTTCCGCATGACTTTTCATGCCAAGTAACTCTCTTCGTTTTCTCTCTCTCCATGTGAAAGTTTATCCACGTTAGATTTGCTCCAAGGACGAGACAGTTTTTGGCGTAATTCCCAGGGAAAAAGAGAGAGGATCCTTGAAAATTTACCATTTGAATAATTGATATCGTCCGTCTGTCCAATCTCTTCGCCAATATTTCGCAATAGGATGGTTGTAATTGAATTAGAAGTTGGGGAGCAAGAAATTATCTCCTCTCGCTTCACTCTAGCCTTAGAGTAGATACAGACTCGCGGGTGAACCACGGGAGGATAAGCGAGAGCAGCGATGGCAGCGCGCTCTGCCGAAATTCGCCAAATCAATTAATTTTTCTGCGCAAAGAATTGCAGAACGTTCAAAATTAGTGACAAAAACTCGATTTCTCGATATATCAATTGATTTTTCCCAGTTTTTCATGGTTTTCAGTGTCATAGAGGACAATAAACAGCCGAAAATATTTATTTATTGCCTCTAAATGCAAATTAACACAAGAATTTTTAATTTCTCTGCCGAAATGTGTCATGAAAAACGATCTAACCTCAATTTTTCTCTAGAACAAGGCCTGAAAAGCAGACTTAATGCTGCAGAGATTTTGATTCTGGCTCTCAAGTCGACATTTTGATATCAATTTCAACTCTTTGATGTCATTTGTCGCATTTAAATGATAGCCAATATTCTCTAGTTGCTTATTTTAGCGACCAGGGAAGGTTGTTGCAAACATAACCTCAACAGCTCATCGATTCCCATAGAAAATTGTCTTCTTGCAATTTCCTGCTTCTGCAAATCTTCCATTTTCGCAATTTTATCGTAAAATTTCACGCTTGAGCGACACACAAAGGAAAAATTGTCGCTAGTGTCGACAAAGAAGAATAACTCCTGACTGTGTACAGCGCCACAGTTGAGGATTGATCCCAGTTTGCGCTGATTTGAGGATAAGCGACAAGTCTGTAATCGCTCTAATCGCTCTCTTTGTGTTTGGGGTGGAGAAAATCATCAGGGGATTTCCTCAGATGAGAGAATTGTAAATGAGAATGTAAACGTTTCTTCGCCCACTCATGAATGCATTTTGATAGGGTTTCTGTGGACAATTGCTCATAAAAAGTCGTGTTAGTAAGGATTCATTCCATGGATTCCGATGCTATTTTTGATCTCTTTTTCATGGTCATAAACGTGATTGTTGTTGTTGCGGTTGGGAAAAGAAGAGGGTGTTGATATATAGATTGAATGTTAAAGCTGTTCGTGGATTCTCTGCCAGACAGGAGATGGTTTTACTGAGTGTCCTGGGTGTGTTTTAATCATGCATTTCAGAGATTTGCAATTAATGAAGCTTTTAGGGTGTTTTTTTCTTTGCGCACTTCGATTTGTTAGTCTGTTTATACGCTCGATATATTGCTTCTTTGTCCCAGACAGCGACAGAAGCTGACGCGCGAAGGAGTTTTTAATGAAGCCATTTGAAATTTTATTTACACACTTAAGCTATCATAAAAATGCTACACACTATTTTATATTAAAAACAATATTTAGCGAACGATCTTCGCGCCAATGCGGAAAGGAGGAGTTTTTAGCGTATTTCCTCTCATGTCCTGTTTCTCTCTTCCAGAATCCAGTAAATGTGAAGGCTGGCGAGGAAATTGAAGTGAATTTCTGGCGTCGCGCTGCCCAGAGGCGAGTGTGGTACGAATGGAGCATTTCATCGCCGCAAATCTCCTATATTCACAATCTCAACGGTCGCGCCTGTGATATTCTCATGTAGAGGCCATCAAGTTGCTTTTGTGGATGGAGAAGGAATTACTAATGCAAACCAGAGGGCAAATACAATAAGAATAAAATCTCAAGGACAGATTCAAGGCATTTCCTCTCTCTCATCGTCTGGGTGGGTTTTTTTTCGGGTCGCTTTTACGGGAAATGTGCATTTAGAGTTCGTTCGACACGTTTTAGCCGCGCTCCAGCGATGAGGAGGAGAGATTTTCTCTCTTTCTCTCTCTCTCTCTCTCTCTCGGCGATTTATCAATGAAACGGAGACCATCAGCCAGAGAGAGAGAGTGGGGGAAAATAGGGAAAACAGGCACGAGTTTGCGTCTCTCATTCACACTGGATATATTCCTTGAGGATTTTCATCTCCTCACAGAAGCAGAAAAGCAAGAGCGATGCCAGAGCACGGAGAGCAATTGAGACTCAATTTGAGAGCGGAGAGTTTGATGGTGTGACGAGGATTCAGAGGACTTTCAACGCTTGTCTCACATGGAGCTTTACATTGATAATTCAGTTGAATGCGAAGTCTGCCTGCGTTGCGACGCGCATTTCACGCCAGAATAAAGGATTCCCTGAGTGCTTTTCTTTTGGCGAAAGAGGCGCGCAAGAGTTTTTATTGAGTGGCTTGGCAAAAGCTCTAAAACACACACTTTCAATAATTGCACTCTTTTTGTGGCGCATCACTGCGAAGATCAACTTCTTCTCACGCACAAGAGCTTTTCCGGCTGAAAATTACCATATCTCGGCATTGAGTGTGTGTGTGAATGACAGCAATTTTGGACCATTACCTGGAGATGAAGGGATGTGACATGGAGTTTTGTGATAAGAAAATGAGTACAAAGTGAGTGAGATAATTTTAGAGTGAATTATATATATATCAAAAGTGTGTAATTTTAGTAAACTCTCTCACTCCTCATTTTTCATGTGATGTGGTTGAAATCCTTATAAATATTCCATGGACACACTGTGAATGGAGATGATGTTGCAGAGCGCCGAAGGACTGTGAGCAAATAGAGTGAATTTAATTACAGGAGACTTTCATGCAATGGACAGAAATGTGCGTCAAGTTGAGAGGTGTTTGTGAAAAGGGCGCAAGAGGCTGGTTCTGCAGAAGGTGGAAAAGTCAATAAACACTTGGTGATAACTTTTTAATTTCAACCTTAATTGATTGCAAATTGGGCGGAGGTGGAACTCATCATAGGGAAAGGACAGAACCTGGTAAATAACTCTTTGCACACAGTATCCAGCAAGAAATGTTGCTACAAACGCAATTATTCCACAAAGAGAGAGAGAGTGAAATTGTTTAATTGAAATTAGATGTGTTGCGAAATATTTCACGCGGACTTTGACCTTAATTTATTATTATTCCATTTTTACATGATCATTATTGTCATCATTATAATGGTGAATGAGGAAAAAAGCGCCACAACAGTTGTCGTGAAGCGATTGACACGTCAAGATAAGAGAGAAATGTTTATGTTTGTTAAGAAGAACAGGAAATTTTGACGCGAAATTTGCCAAATCCAAGGGAAGATTATACGGTCAAAAATGACGTATAAATTAGTAGAAGTTTTATGAAGTAAAAAAGCTTCAATTTTTCCCATATTTGGCTCACAAATTTGATTTTCTCTTGATTATTTTACCCTGAAAAATTAATTCCTATCCAAGTCCACATTTTGACATATTTTTCTAGGTTATGTGACTAATTTATGACTTAATAATATCTTAAAGCATAACTTATTGAGCCTAAACTGAACACATTTTTACTTTATTAGTAGAATTAAGAATATTTTTTAATTATACAGAAAATCCTGATTTTAAGAAACAATTCCAAAATGAAACATAACCTCAATTTTCCACTAAACAAAAATTTAAAATAAAAAAATACACAAAAATGCAATTTTAGAAGGAAACATCAATAAATATTGTATGAAAAAGTGAGTTTCAAAGTTGTAAGTTAGATTTTAGTCAGATTTTAGTCAGATTTTCACGTTATTAAATTGAAATTAGGGAAATTGTATTCAAAAATTGATATCTAAAAGAGAAACTAAAAGCAGAAAACCATTTTTATCTGATAACGAAATTATAAAAATCTGAAACAGAGTTTTAAAACAGTCAGTTAGATTTTAGTTAGATTTTGGTCAGATTTCAGTAAGTTATTAGTTGCTTTTAGCTTTCTTATAAACAAACCATGAAGTCTGAAATCCCCTTGATCAAATCACGTCCCAAAATTATGTATTAGAAGAAGAAGAACATCAATTGTTCTATCGTTTTTAGTCCTGTTCTGTACTGTTTAATTACTGATGCGAGATTCCTTTCATCCTCAATGACTCGGTGTGTCTGTGTGTGGGAAAGGCAATAGAGAAATTCCCCTCTCATCTCAGCGGAAGTCCATTCTCACTTGATTGTGAGTGAAATGTAATTATTTGCTCAATTAATGGGCACCGAAGGGTCAATTGACGTGTCAGAGAGCGCGTGATTCAATTGATTTCACTGTTGTTCTCAACCCCGTCTGGGGTGGATTTCTTTAAAGAACAAATATATTTCACCGCACGAAAGAAGTGTCTGGGTCGAGGCGACGAATTTAATGATATAGACGGAATTTGCGAAAATACTTAACAATTGACGGCACAGGATGCCGTGGGTTTGGGCGATGGCAAGTTCTTGGCTCGTGGCAGAGTACACAGAGGAGAAAAAAAGCCGCCCCCCTCTCCCACTTGGGCGCTCTGTCATTGTTTTCGCATCCTCGTGAGAGATTTTATTGTATTCCGTGAGTGCGAATAATTCCACACGCTCGGGGCTCTTTATAAGAAATTATCACGTTCTCTTCATATTTAAGTGGGTGGGCGGAGGGAAAAACTTGTGACGACTGCGGCGGGGAGATTTTCATGCGGGGGTTTTTGTCTGTGTGTGTGTACGCCTGAAGTTGCCGCCGCCAAAAGGGTGGCACGAAGAAAGGTTCTCTTTCGCAACTTCTTTTCTCTTCCGCAAGCAAAAGCGCGCGTCCTTTTGAGAGGCGATGCCTTTTCTCACCCCCGTGCGCATCTTATGCGTCTCTGATGGCCAAGAAGGGCCACACGGGTAGAAAAAAAACCCCTTTTAATTCCCTTATGTTTTTCTCATTATTACTTTTTTCACACCCACTCCATGGTGTGTATTTCCTCAACCATCTTTCAGCACTTTGTACCACAGCGTGAAATTTATTCCCTTCACGCGTGCAACATTTTTTCCCCACACACAACACACAAAACTCTCCCTCGCCAGCACTGGAAAATATTGAATTTATTTTCTTGTGGTTTGGCGCACGTGTAAGTGGTGAAAATTTTTGTCAGTCGAGGAGAAAAATTCCCTCATTGAACACCCAAAAGTGAAGAGATTGAGGAAGACAGTGAGACAAAAAAAAGAGAAGACTGATTTGGCCAGTCATGTGTGCAGATTCCACAATTTATCATTCTGATGTTATTTGCTCCATCGTCTCCGACACATTTTTTTCCTCATGTGCCACCAACTTTTCATCCACCACTTGCTGTGTGTGTATGCTCCTGAGGAGAGCGGACAAACGGCAAAAAAGGACGAGAGCCAGGAGGAGAAATCTCATTGTGAAAATGCATCGATCACACATGAGATCCACTTATGAAGAGATTCCTTCAGCGCATATTTGAATTCTTTCACTAGGAAAATTATTCATCAACGCTTTCCAGAGTGCAATCATTTATCACAAATTTTTCCACATTGCGAACAAAGAGTGTCCGTAAACACTTTGCATAGATTACAAATTGTTCACATGTTGTGAAGATGAATTTGTGCAAAACATTCCCAGTTTGACACAAGGGGCAGATATTATGGTCGAAAGCTTAAAAAATGTTGTCTTTTTAGGTTATGTGATTGATTTCTAACAGAATCTGATGTTAAAATAACCCTCAAAATCATCAAATTTGTGTTTAATCTGAGAATATTTCTCTTTTTCCTGGCAGATTTGTGCATTTTTGTCCAAAAAACCTCATTTTGATTGAGAAGAAGCTTAAAAGTCAACCATAACCTCAAAAAATTTAATTTCAGCATAGAAGAATATTTCTTTGTTTAGTTATTTTGTGGTTTTTGCTTTAAATTTGAATTAAATTCACTAAAATTACTAATTAAGAATTTTTTAGACCGAATTCATAACCTCACAAATTAGTCAGATTAATCCAAAGCATTTCCTGAAGGAAAAACTTAGAATAGATTGTGATAAGTCAGAATTCAATGTGAGAAATAGTTGAAGAAGTCTAAAAAGCGATGGAAAATGACTTTAAAGACGATTCTGCAGTGGAATTATCTCCCCCTTGGTTTGACACATTTTCTAATTGAATGCTCAACATTTCACATCTTTAAGAGCCACTTTAGTCTTTGTCTCGACAGTTTATTGACCTGTTTAAAATCTGCTCAAGAAGTGCAGATAATCTGATAAAATATTGACAGAACACAAGACATTAATTGAGATTTTAACACCTCTGAAACGTCGAACGAGAAATATTCTATAAAATCAACCAATATTTCGCCAAAGGAAAAGTTACTCATTTATCCCCACCTTTTACTTTTCTATCCATAAGAGAATAATATATCATAAAATATTTTACAACTTCTTCACTTTTATAGCTTTTGAATTCCTTCGTGGAGAATTTTTACCAATTTTGCAAAAGAAGTAAAAAAAAAATATCCATAGATTATTTTGTTCACCATTTCCCAGTGACTTTGTCAGCGACTTGACTCAAAAGGATGTTCATCGCATTGCATATAAAGTTCCACATTCTTGAAGGATTTTCTCTCTGTGTGTGTTATAAAAAGGGAAAAAGCAGAAATTTCATATCGCGCTCTTGAGGTTTAGGAAATGGAATATTTTCAAGAGTCATGCAGTTGAAGACGATGGTAATATTTTCTGCATAAATTCACAAAGTTCAGCGTGGAATTTATTCGGAAGGAAAACAACAATTGACGCTCCAATTTGTAGTTATATCACAAATTTTCAACTAATTTATGCATGTGCAAATGAGGTGCGAAGTGATAAATATGTACATACATAGCATTTAAGGCTTCTGCATTATATGCCAGAG